ATGGAGTATATGGGCTGTGCTACAGGACATGATGGTTCAGCATTCCCAAGCTTTTTTTCACTGGGAAAAAAAAACAACTTATCATTGCTGTGGATCAGTAGCAGAGTCAGGCTGCCTGAAGGGCACAAAGTATAGAAAGGCCACATGATAGGTTTCGCAGGCTCCTATTAGCACAGACCAGCAATGCATGTTTCAGGAAAAAGCTGCATCCTCAGTCAAAATGCACATTTTAGCAGGTGGTTCTGACTATAAGGGTAACAAAAGGAGTTTTAATAGTTTTCAACAGGCAATTTAAGTTTGATCCCTCATTGCTCATAGATTTTGTATTCATACTCTCATCTCCTCCCTTGATTTTTGCAGCTTTGGATTCAATCTGTGAATGCAAAACTCCCTCTGGTTGCATTATACGAAGCCCTTTGCATTGTTGTCAGTTTTCTAGCTCTGTTTTTGCAGTCTGTCACAAAGTAAGCTCGTGCGAATCTACATCTCTGCAAGCACAAGTTAGCCCAAGTTAGCCCAAGCTAAAGTGATGTAAATGTAGCCTAAGAAAAGAAAACTGCACTACAAGGTTGATTTCCAAGTTCTACCAGAACCACAGGTGCTATCTGTCCAGCACAGGGGTGTCAAACTCCGGTCCTCCAGGGCCGCAATCCTGCATGTTTTAGATGTTTCCTTCTTCCAACACACTTGATTCAAATGATCAGCTCATCATCAAGCTCTGCAGAAGTCTGATAACGATCCTGATCATTTGAAGCAGGTGTGTTGGAAGAGGGAAGAATCTAAAACATGCAGGATTGCGGCCCTCGAGGACCAGGATTCGACACCCCTGGTCCAGCATATCATTAAGCATGCTAACTAGTTTAGGACAGGCCCACACATGAAACAAACAACACAACAGTCTAAAGGCAGCATGAAGGCCACACTTGCAGCCATCCAATCATAGAAGTCGGCAGCCAAACAAACCAAAAACAATTGACACTCATATTTCACATGCAAAAACACAAATCATTTTTCCTTTCCGCCAACACATTCATGGTGCATTTAGCATTCGTTGAAGCACTTCAGTTCTATTGTGCACATATTCAGTCAACTTTTGGATGCTTTAAGTTGTGCTCATGTTTTCTTTCTCTTACCTGTGCTGGCGTGTCCAGACCTTTCCTGCTGGGGTCGTCTGGCTGACTTTGGGCAAAACATGTCCGCTTCTTCTTCTTGTGTTTTAATGGCAGTTGGCAACCAGCGTACTAGGTGCATTAAAAGATGTCCTTCTTTGTCCTTCTTCTTTTGCTTGGTTTTGTGGTTTGCATCCAACATTTAAGTGCATTACCTTCTAAAAGAAGTCTTCAGGGGAGCACAAGGCTTTTATGCCAAACCTGCTGATTGGGTCATGCCAAGTGCCCGCAACTCCATGGGGTGGAAGGGTTTATTTGATTTAAATATCACATTATTCTTGGGACTTGTGTTGGATATTTAGACATATTTTGGGGTTATTTAATATAGGTCTTTTTGATTAAGTAGACAAACTGTGCTGTTTTGCGATTTTTGTAGTTAGTTCAGGTGTAGATGTTTTATGTTTCCCCTATTGTGTTCATTTGGTACATACAGCCACTTTTGTTCCTTGTTTGTGAAGTTAGTTTGGAGTTTTGCTTGGTGATTGCGGTTGGTTTACAGGGTTAGTTTGTTGGTATAGCATTAGGTAAATTCTGTTCATTTCACCTCTTTTATGGGCCTGGAATTTAGTATTTGTTTTTTTAACTTTGTCCCTTTTTTTCCCTTTTTTTTTGAGTGGAAAAAAGCAAACAAAAAACAACGCAGATCGGAATTAATGTATGAGTCCTCTTACTTTGTATCTTGGTCCCTCACATGCAGCAAAGCTGATCAAAGTAGTGCAAAAGTTACACCTACAAGCTACTTTATTGTCCAATTCATCAGCTCACTTAAACGATGTGCTAATTTCTACCAGAACGGTCATCATAAAGACATATGGGTCATTCTGTTGCAATTTGCCAAATGCAGACAGAAACATTTAAATGATTTGACCACGTTTACACCATCATATAACTAGTTTGCATTATTCTATCAAAGGAGGGTTGTACCATTAAAGACCATATGTACATATCAGTGAGCCTATAAAATTGCAGAAACTCTAGCTACATTATTTCTCAAGTTATGGCACTTCAAACATTAGTCCACAGATTGGCGTGAAGAAAACATTTCAAAAAGTTACCTGACCCCACCTCTATTTAAGAATTTTTAACTCAAAAACTAAATTTATCTTCATCCCCAGCTTTTACACATGGTCAACTCAATCAATATTCACCACATTTTTAAAAAATAAAATAAAAATCTAATTGAGAATGGTCAGGCATGATTTTTTTTAATTTATTTTTTATTTTTTAATCTAGTAATTTGAGGTGGAATGGCCCATATTAAAGATAAGAGTCTCTCATGTTCTTCACTCTTTATGGCATCATGTTTTTAATATGTGTGGGACACAAGACCTCATCAACAGCCCTGGGCACTGCGACAACTTTGTGGGAAAAACTGCATTTCTACAACTTCTGCATTCATAATGTGATAAACACTGGCCCAGAAAGCATTTTCCCCGGACACAAAAATTGGAAAAGGAGAAGTTGTAAAACAATAGACAGATGTTACCGTGCGTTGGAAACCTGCAAAATGACTCTTTCTTTTTTAAACAGAGTTTGATCCTTTGGGCTCAACAACACTTGGAAAAGTCAAGAAGAGCCACATGATTATTTTATTTCGGCCCATTCATGTGAGCTGGGAGCCAGTAGGATGTCTGACGGCTCGGCAGGTGGGAGTCTCAGTCACGCATGCGCTCCACAGGGAGAGCATGAGGACGATACTATTGCTACAGGCCTCAGACTCTGGAAGCTCTCATAGTGGAAGGTTGTAAAGCTTTTTCAGTGTGTGCACCACCGAGCAACTTTCTTTTGATTAAATGAGGTGCCATCTTGTAATGCAGCTTTGTAAAACACATCCATGGAGGCACCCTAGAGGGCACCAATCAGGCAGTTTTCCCACTGAAAGGTCACCCAATTCTGCACTTAAGTATGTTAGACTAAGTGGCTCCGTAAATGGCACTTTTTTTTCCCAGTTGTTTTTAATGGCACCAATAGAAAACTTGCAGGTCACCCAATTACGACCCCATTTCTCATTTAAAGTCACTTTACCACGCTTCCTTGCTTGTGGAAGTAGTTTATTTTCTTCCACTGAGCAGGCATTTTATTCCAGGTTGCCATTTAGAGACACCATAGTGCACCTCATTCTGTTTCACCCAGAACAGACGGCAAATACAAACTTTGATATGTTTTCTCCTTTGTGTAGAACCGTAGTGTGTTTCATCATATTTGCTTTACCATGAGGACACCTTAAAGGGCATTTCTACAGTAACAGTTGTGCTACTTTATATTCAGTTTTAAATACAGAGACAGCTAATATATGTGAGGGTTTGTCACATAATTACCAGGAGAGGAAAGAAGCATAAACAAAGTTCTGATCTGTTTTGAGTTTTTGGAAATGTTTTGTGATCTTTGATTTTTGGTGAGATACTGGACTATTTGAGTATGTTTTTGCAGTGAGATGTATAGAGGGAAATGAGCATCTTAACAATTCATAGACATCAGAAATGTGTGTGTAAGACACCGAAAAGGGTGAAAACCACTGGTTACATCTTTAACAGTGTGTGTGTTTTTAAGCTTATTATGTTGTGTAGAATCCTCATTAAAAGTAACCAATCTGAAAAGATTTACCTGAAATTTAGTGGAGTGCAAATGTAAAGCAGCATTAAATGGAAATGTTCAAGTACATTGCAAGTACCTCAAGATCTTACAGTAGTACAATACCTGAATGAATCTACTTACTTTCCACTACTGGCTGTAACCATCAAATTATCATCAGAGACGAAAAGAGATGACAAAACACAACGTTCCTGAACATTCTGTTCCAAAATAATAATTGATTATCAATTTCAAGATTTACTTTGCAAAATGCATTTGAAGAACATTCAAGAATATTCATTAAATGATGTATGTTGTCCAGTAAACATATAAATAAATAAAACAAAATATTTGTTTAGATCAAACAAAACAGTACAGGTTAGGTGAGGGAGTAAAATGAGAATATTACGTTGGAACCATGTGGTAAATTCCTCCTTGCTTAAGCGACAAAATTCCCAGAATGACTTATAATAATAACATTAATATCCATCCATCCATCATCTATACAATCCTTACTAGGGTCACAGGGGGGCTGGAGTCTATCCCAGCTGACTCAGGGTGAAGGCAGGGGACACCCTGGACAGGTCACCAGTCTATCACAGGGCTACACTTAGAGACAGACAACCAAGCACACTCACATTCACACCTACAGACAATTTAGAATCACCAATTAACCTCAACATGTCTTTGGACTGTGTGGGAGGAAGCTGGAGAACCCAGAGAGAACCCACGCTGCACGGGGAGAACATGCAAACTCCACGCAGAAAGATCCCAGGTGTCTTCACTAATACTTTATTTTGCACTTTTAAAAACAGGGGTTTACAGACAACGCAAAAGTAGAATACTCAGAAGGCAAAATATCAACAAAGATAAAGTTAAAACAAAGATTCTAAACACAATGTGTCAATAATAAAAGAAATTATAAATTAAATGAAGAAAACTGTAATAGCCAAGTTAAGTCAAGCTACTGTTATCTTTATAGCACATTTTAAACAACAGTTACTGAGCCAAAATGTTTTCTGGGAGTGAAAAAAGACAAAGTTACCTAATGAGGTCAAACATTAAAGTGACGGCCTGACAATAATATATAAAATGCAATGCAAATTTACCTTATTAATTTAAATATTAGGATTAGGATCCTACAGTATTATGTGGTATAATTTAGATAATTAGTTTTGCTACATAACTATACATATAAAAACCCAACAAATCCAAAGTTTCCTCATAAGCAAACATATTAGCAGCAGTGAGGACTTCCAGCACAACCAGCATCAATTGTTTTAATTAAGTAGCATGTTCATAGCATCTATTCTTTTTCCTATAGTCTGGCAGCATTTAATACAAACTTCTATGCACAATATTAAATATAACACTGTTTGTTTTTGTTAAATGCAGGTATCAGACTTTCAGCATGAGCCCCCTCTGGCTCCAGTGCGGCCCCCCCTACACCGGGCCTCTCAGACGCTCGGCGCGCCCCTGCAGAGCGGCTCGGTGAAAGCCCCGCTCCTCCAGCGCCGCTCAGCTCTCCATGGCCTACTGCAGCTCCAGCTACAACTCGTGGAGGCAAGAATGACACCGGCGCTCCCCGACATCAAAGCAACCTGATCGTAAGGGCGGATCTGCTTTCTTTTTTTTTTTTTTATAATCTTAAAAAAATTAAAATAAAGGAACACCAGAATGATGGCGCTTATCTTTGCACCTTTACGGACTCGGTTAGTCGCGGTTATTTTCACGTTCACTGCGCTGTGGGGATTTGCGCTCTCCATCACTCGGTACTCTATACCGGAGGAAATGGAAGAGGGTTCCTTTGTTGCCAATCTGGCCACGGATTTGGGTCTGGATGTTCGCAGCTTGGAGGAGCGCAACGCCAAGCTCGATGTCATTCACAGCAAAAATTACCTTGACATCAACAAAGACACCGGGGAGCTGGTGATCCGGGAGAAGATAGACCGGGAGAGCATATGCATGACTAAAACCACCTCGTGCTTTCTGAAAATGGATGTCATACTCGCAAACCCCGTGCGCATTTTCAACATCGAGCTGGAAATCATGGACATCAATGACAACGCGCCCGTGTTTCGCAGGAAGACAATGCATTTGGACATTACGGAGTCAACCCCTCCCGGTGAGAGGTTCTCATTGACAAACGCGGTGGATGCGGATGTGGGGGCGAATTCTATCAAGACCTACTATCTGAGCGAGAGCAAATACTTCAACATCGACATCCAGACGGGCAGCGATGGCTCCAAATATGTCGATTTGGTGCTCAGTGGTAAATTAGACAGAGAGGAGTATTCGGTTCATAATTTGATTCTGACCGCTGTGGATGGAGGGGTGCCTCCCCGCTCCGGAACGGCCAGCATCATTATTAACGTCCTGGATATCAATGACAACGCCCCCCTCTTCAGTCAGCCGGTGTTTGCAGTGAATGTGTCAGAGAACTCAGCAGCAGGTACAGTGGTGATGACCTTAAACGCAACAGATTTGGATGAAGGCACCAATGCGCAGTTGATATATTCATACACACTGTACACCTCAGAGAAGACTCAAGAGCTCTTCTCCCTTGACCCGAACTCAGGTGAGATCAAGGTGAAGGGGGTGATCGATTACGAGGAGAGTCAAAGTTTTGAGATGCACATACAGGCCCAGGACAGAGGGGCCAACCCCCTGTCAGGACACTGCAAAGTGACGGTGTCCGTCACAGATCTGAATGACAACTACCCCGAAGTGACCATCAAGTCTCTGAAAAGTTCCCTGACCGAAGACGTGGCCGTGGGGACGCTGATTGCAGTGGTGAGCGTCAGCGACAGGGACTCCGGGGTCAACGGGGAGGTGGCGCTCTCCCTAAATCAGCAGGAGAAGTTGCCGTTCCTCCTCAACAAATCGTCGGAGGGTTTCTTTGAGCTGCTGGTGTCAAAGCCGCTGGACAGAGAGGTCACGAGCAAATACGAGCTCATACTGAGGGTGACGGACAAAGGCTCGCCGCCCTTGACTGAAAATGAGACCATCACTTTAGAGATCTTGGACATCAATGACAACGCTCCGGCGTTCTCCCAGTCCTTCTACACAATCCATGTTGTGGAAAATAATTCACCAGGGGCGTTATTGACCTCTCTGAGTGCATTTGACCCAGATCTCAATGAGAACCAGTACTTGGTTTATTTCATAATGGAGAAAGAGATTGTGAACACGTCTATGTCAATGTTATTCTCCATCAACCCTGAGAACGGTGATCTCTACGCCCTCAAGACCTTCGACTATGAGAGAGAGAGGGACTTCCTGTTCCACATTGAGGCGAGAGACTCTGGTGTTCCCCCGCTGAGCAGCAACGTGACTGTTCACATCATCATTCTGGATCAAAATGACAACACTCCTCTCATAGTGTCACCTTGGCGGGCGCAGGGCTCCGTCGTGGAGGAGGTGATCCCCAGATCCACAGATAAGGGGCACCTGGTGGCCAAAGTGATCGCCATCGACGCCGACTCCGAGCAGAACTCCAGGGTCACGTACCAGCTCCTGCAGATCACTGACGCCAGCCTCTTCAGCCTGGATCAGTACAACGGCGAGATCCGGACGACCAGGATGTTCAGTTACAGAGACCCAAGACAGCAGAGGCTGGTAATAGTTGCCAAAGACAACGGCCAACCTGCCCTCTCTGCGACCGTCACCATCAAGATATCCACAGTGGAACATGTCATGTCCTTCTCAGAGACTACAGAGCTGCCACTCGAGTATGACGTCTTCACAGACCTGAACCTGTACCTGGTGATCGGGTTAGGCGCTGTGTCCTTTCTGCTACTGATAACCATCTTGGTTATTATTGTGCTCAAGTGTCAGAAACCGAAACCAAAGGCCATCAAGATCCCCCCAGCCAATAGAAACAGCGTGATCAGCAGAAACAGCGTCATCAGCCAGAGAAGCTCCACCATCGCAGATTCCACCCTGATCTCCAGCGACGCCTACTGGTACAGCCTGTTCCTCGCAGAGACCAGGAAGGGCAAAGTGGTCGTCAGACAGCCCATAATCCCCAAAGGAGCCGGGTATTTTGTATCCAGTATACCAAGGAGCATAGGGCCAAGTGAGACCACAGACTCCAGAGCGTCCACGCTGGAGGTATGTTCAATGGTAGCTGGGTTTGGTAGAGATTAATTATCATTAGTCAAGAAAAGAAAGTCAGATGCAGGACAGCTGACTTAGTGTGGTGTTAAAAGTTCTGACGAATCATGTTTCTCCTGTAGAGTGGATAATTGTTTTGTTGAATTTGCTGTAGGCGTCAGAAAACTGTCTTTACTACTGTACAGATCCCACCACCATTTTATTGTTTTACATTTTAATGCCATATTTGCAAAATTAGAATGACAACTTCCTCGTATCAATATTTTATGTTTCTGGTAACATAGTAAAGTAGCTGTCAACTATGAAATTATTCAGTAAGTATTTTAATTATTGATCCGTTAGTCGGAGCTATTTTTAAGAACAAAAAGTCTGAATTGTCACATTCCAGCTGTTTAAACTTGAATGTTTTCTTCAGCTAAATGAATATATTTCAGCTGTGGACAAAACAAAACATTTGATGACATCATGTTGGGCTCTGGGATGCATCAATTGACATTTTCTGCTATTTTATCGATCAAACAAGTAATTTATGAATTAAGAAAGCTATCAGCAGATTAGTCAACATTTAAAATAATCAATAGGTGTGGCCCTAAGTGGTATGAACTGCTTTAAAGTTGAAGATGTTTTGTGGATGTCCTATGCGCTCTGTTTTAGCTCTAAAGTGGTGGGAATTTATTTAAGTAGTGCATTTAACTATAAATTTCTTTAGTCCTTTAAGTACTATCCTTAAGTTTTTTAGCTTTGCTTGAGTATTTTTGTTCTTTGTACTTGTACGCTTCATTTCGGACGGAAATATTGTACTTTTTTATCCACATCTTTAATTATTAGCTGCTTTTCAGGTGAAGAATTTGTGTAATTTGCTGGAGCGGTCCCACCCTTACTTATTGAAATGTATAATATATAAAAATCTTAATACACAACAAAGTCTATGATGCAAAGTAGTTCAAACCAACTCAGCAGTAAAGTGCCACTGCACCAGTATCAAGGATATGTTTTATTTCATGGCGCGTCAGCACATCAGCTGCTTCTGACGCTCATACTACATTCTTCTAATAATACGTCTGTATTTTCACGAAGCAGGACTTTGAATGGAGGCCGTTAACTTGTCACATTTTCAAACTGTTACACCGCCACTCTTACTTGCATAAAGGATCTCAGTACTTCTTCCACCGCTCTGACTCTCACGCTTACTTTGACGTGCATTCAGGTTGACACCACTGACTGGAAAAAAAATCACTGCTGGTTTTATTATTTAGTTTGTGTCTGTGTTATGAGTGTGAGGTTTGGAGTGTAGAGTGCTCACCAGCTGATTTCACTCCGGGGGGAACACTTTTAACTTTTCTTCTGGTGACGCTGAAATGCGATACAAGTGGAAAAACAAGAACGGGACCGACGTGTTAGCGAGGATGACGCTGTGCGATTGCTGCAACTTATTTCTTTAACATTATGCTGCACTGATATATTGAAATATACAGTATAATGAACCATAATGCAGCTAATTTTAAAGGCTGCCGAAAATTTTGTTCTGAATTAGTTACAGCTAAGATAACACAGCGCTACCGATTTTTCATTATCTGTGTATTTCTAGAACAAGCTATCTGCACTTGTATTGCATAATTAGGCCAAACACACCCACCTCATCATCCTCCCAAAAAAAAAAAAATGTGCCACTGTTTGATGTCTTGTGTAGTATGTAGGTCATGTATTGCAGATGCATAACACACAATCATGGTGTAGCTAGTAGGCGTGAGAGGGGGAGTACTACAAAGAAGCCCAGACACGGATGGGTTCTCTTCAAGGACAAGAGATAAGGCCGCGCTACGTGAGATGCATTATGAATCTGCGGCAGCGCTCTGGCGCACAGTAGACTGTCATCGATGTAGAGCTGCTGAAAATGATCCAGATGTTGTTTGTTCTTTGTACAGCTGTACCTGCAGAGTAAACCGAAGCGAGCGATCCACTGCGAGATTAAACAACATGAATATGCATGATGCACCGATGCGTATGGGAGAGAGACGTTTGTGTATGATGTATTGTGAGTTTGAGTGTCTGAGTTTCACACGTTCCACTGAACTTGTCTTTTTTTTTTCTATTCTTAAGTACTCAAAATGAAAGGAAGTCCATTCTACAACTGGAGGTATGCTGGTTGCTAACTACATTCTGTAGAGCCACTATGATTGTGTAGATCTTCTATCCTTTCCCCCTCCCACCCTCTATTTGGTATACATGTTTGGTTTGGCTCAAATTTTTTTGGGTTTGATAAACTGTCACAGATTCCAACGCAAATCTTTGGGGTAATCCTTCAGTCGACATGTTTTCCTGATTAAATAGAGCAGAATCCGATATTTCCATTTGTCCCCAGTCAGACGGTCCCTCACAAATAAAACGCTCCGCTCCAATCCGACGCCACTGAAATTTAAATTGGCCGCTCTCTCGAGTGAGAAAACCTATCAGCTTATACTGAGAGCTGAGATTAGAATAAAATTGGCTGCTGGTCAGATTTTGTGTTGTGCACATCTGGCATCTGGAGATTCGGGGCAACGTGATGGCACAGATAGAAAAGAGATAGAGAGAGAGAGAGAAAAAAAAAGGATTAAGGAATGAATTGTCCTGAATAGGTTCTCAGCGTGTAACATACCTGTGAGCAGCGGCTGTATCAACTAGCTCCACATCCCTGCACACAAACTCCGTTAGACCATCAGATCTGTGGGAAATGGAATACAGAGCCTTGTTACTCCCCTCTGTCGAAACTTGATAGTTGTGACATTGGCCCACCAAAATACCAAATAGCACATTGTGATGCCTGCTTGTGCATGCTTTAGTCACTCCCTCTGCTTCCCCTAATGGCTTTGTCGTATGTTATTTCGCTTGTGTATGTTACGGATTTCTATGGATGATTTGGTGAAAATTGTGGAAAAAAAAAAATCTGACTAAAAAAAAGAAAACATACACTCAAACATAGAACATTGATTTACCCTTGAACGTAAATGTCCCTGAAGTCCAGTGAAACATCCACGATGGTGGCAGTAACCAGTCACGATCCACTGTTGCATGAGTGATGACTTTCTCTAAGTTTAGATTGAGCTTCTGTTGTGGCTAATTCTATGTTCTGTCTCTTTAGCAGGAGCCCAGAAGAGAACTGCCATGATATAATCATCTCTTCATGGGAGTTTCTGGCTGAAATTCTTCCTCTGACTCACAAAGAAGATGTAAAACAACTCTCCTCCCCTCAGCCCCCTCTTGCTCCAAACCCCTTCTTTCTCTCTCCGGTCCCTCCGATCCCACGCACAGACATCGACCACTAATCACCTCAGCTTTCTGCCGTCGTTATTCTTTTTAAGCATGAATCTGCATGGTTCTACGACATGTTCAGAGTAGTTTTGGACAACGATTTGAAAACCATTAATGGCAGGATATTATTCTGGACGTTGCTAAAAGAGGCCTCATGTAGTAAATCATTCCCTCCTTAGTGCTTTGAAGCTTCTTAATGGACAATTTTGCCTTCTCTCCACGGCTGTGTGCTGTAGTTCTAGAAACCATCAGTAGTTTGTCATATACTTAAGTCATGCAGCGTTTTTTTTTTTAAAGCAAGAACTGAAAACACGCCTAATAATAATAATAATAACAATAATAATGAAACACATGAATCAGGGTGAATATGCTTCTTCCATAAATCTGATAAGTACGTAACTGTAGCTGGTTATATCTAGAGCCCGACTGATGCTGGATGTTTGGGGTCGATGACGAGTTTAGGAGGTAAAAAAAAATCTGATTTTGATCCGTTAATATTGTTTATATTTACAGTATATGAGTTGAAAAGGGAACATGATGGGGTCATTGTGTATTTCACAAACTAGTTAGCAACTTATAATAAGGACAAACTTGACTGTGCAGCACCGTCTGCTCACCTCTATACTCTGCTACATGTGCTGCCGACAGCTTTGAGAGTATGTAAACAGTGGAGTCGAAGGTACACTGCTAGACAAACTATGTGATGACATCCTTTCCAAAATACCCCAATCTGTGAAAAGGAAGCTGTATCGGACTACAAATATGGCAGAACTGCTATATCTGAAACAGACCAGTATTAATAGTAATAATAGCGGCCAACTGATACATCGGTCGGGCTCTAGTTATATCTCTGATTTAGGCTTTGCCCTTGGTGTTTTTTTTCTAAATGAAACGTTTCTACAGTGTTATGAGTCACGCTGTTAAGTCAGGCTCGTATTATCATCTAGTAACTTTCTGATAAATGTAATCAGTGGTTCAGTTTTAGGTATTTTTTTTTTATTTACGATGTTTGTTGTGCTCAACAAGTTACGAATGTGTGAAAATGACAAAAAGAAAAGAATGAAAGAAAATTGTAAAAAAAAGGCAAAAACAAACAACAACAAAAAAGAAACCACAGGCCATGCATTGTTTCTGTTCTTATTTGATTGTAGATAGTTCTATAGAAACGATAACGGAGGTCGAAGAAGCAAAAACGAGGCAACTAATGTGCAGTTCAAACCTGATCGGACTGCCGAGACATGAATTCCACTTGCAATACTGAATTTTCTGATCCAAATCTAGCATTCACTGTTTCAGCCTGTGTCCTCTTGTTTGGAGGGAGGGAGCCGGGGTGAGAGTGCACGGCGGGAGGCGGGGGGAGGCGCGTCCTCCGATCTGGGTTTTATTCAGGGGTAATCGCAAATTTGAGCGAGGCCGGAGGGGAGCACGTTAAACATTCAAACACGATGAACCGTATTTTTCAAAAACAGGGTCAAATGTCAATTTAACTTTCTTTGTAAGAAGATTTGTTCATCAAAAGCTTTTATCTTCTTTCCCCCCCCAGCAGCTGGCAAATCAAACGACGACTGCATTCCTTCATTGCACACGGTGCAAATTGTATTAATCAGAAAAAAAATACCGTAACAGTGAAAATTTGAAAAAAAAAAAAAAAAGTATTTTGTAATGATAAATACTCTGTTTATTCAAAAGAGTAAGAATATTAAAAATGTATTTATCTTTGCCAGGGTACAAGGGGATACAAGGTACAGGCAAGGTGGTGTTTTATGAATATTCCTGTTTTTATATATATTTTATGTATTAACTTTTAATGCTGCTTTTGTGAGCTTCTTCAAGGGCATTTTGTGTTGCATATTTGTAGTTTAGTGCATAAGATGTTGTTTTGATAGTGTACATAAGTTTAAAAAAGAAAAAAAGAAAAAAAAAAGAAACTAGAATACTTTTCTTGACCTCAAAGGTAGCGCTATTGCACTACTGTTAATCCCAGGACTTTAATTTCTCAGAAACAAGGAGCTTATTAGGACCACTCATTAGGGTGCTAAATGATAAAATGTAATTGCATGAGGTAAGAGGATTGGATTATGAGAAGAAGAAGAAGAACATAGTGTTAATTATAGTTACAGTATTTTAGTGCTGACTCTGCAAAAAAAAAAAAAGAGGAAAAAACTGCTGAACCAATAGAGTGCATAGGAAAGTATTAAGCAGATGACAGCACTTTGAATTTGAAATATGCACTAAATCTAAATGTGATCGCAGCCATCCCTCAGTAACGCAGTGAAGATAGAACATTTTCTGGATGTATCGAGCTCCATATTCTGAGTCAGTGAAAATTGAACCTCTCTCTCTCTTGTCCTCCCTCTCTCACTGTTCCACCAGGCTGCCCAGACATAAACACAGCTGGCAGCCTGTCTGTGAGACTAAAGATGTCACTTAATGAGGGATCTCTTGCTGTGGAGTACGTGTTGTATGTGCAATCGTCGCCCGAGCCGATTGATTCCCCAACATTGCTTCAAGAATTAATAAATTGCACATACGACGAGCTCCTTGTGTGCCTTCCGCAAAAGATAAACGTGACTGTTGATGAATGAAACAATGGCATTTCCTATAGTATTACAAATTACAGCTACTCCCACGATACAGTACCTTAAAATTGTTTGTTGGATTGGGGCTCAGCCTTTTGGATTCAGAGCAGACGTTCTACGAAGAACCAGTAGATGCATTTACTGTAAATTGAAACTGCTTTATACTTTGTGTTTTTTATACAGTAGACCTTTTTGATATCTTCTGTATTCACTGTGATCGAATGGCACAGGAGGTGTTTGTGCTCGATATAGTAAAAAAAAAGTGAGCTCTTTTCTCATTTGTGTACACTGCTCGGTTTTTATTTTCCCCGCCGCTGATCTGCCAGTCAGATTGTACAGTATGCTTCGAGAGTCGCATCAAACGTAATCCAGTTTCCATCCCGCTTCGTGGATCAAAGATAGTATGGGTGAGAATGGTCTTGCTTTATTTTCAAAGTCTAGTTAATTGTCGGATTTTGATGTTGCTTATTTGGCTTAAATGTCCTGCCTGATCATGCTAGTTTGAATAAAGCTTTTTAATCTGTCTTTCTCTTGTGTCGTCTGATGAAGAAGAACGAAACTGAAATTATCAAAAGTGACTTCTGGAATGTGACACACATGCTCTCTCTTCCACTCTCTCTCTCTCTCTGTGAAATTCCCTCACATACACACATTTTGACCCAGTTTCTCTTTATAACGCTCTGTACTAATTCTTGGAAATTGAAAACTAAATAAAGGAGATGTGCCTGCAGTTCAAATCGCAGAAGCAGACAAATAATAGCTTTGTCAGGATTAGTGAAAGCTTTGAGCCAAATTGCAGTAGTCTACTCTTTGCTGTGACCACACAGGGCTCTCGGTCTGCAGTCCTGCGGGAGATGGATGGATGAGAGTCCTGTGACTTTGCATGACAGGCTGTTGCCATTATATTCAGTAGCAGCGAGATTTCCTTCACAGTCTACTGTAGCAATAATATACCTCAACATCCACTATTTACGGATAGAAAGCATGTCTTATGGTGCCAGTAAGATTTTTAATCAGTCTTGCTTTTCAAACTCCATAAAAATATCCAGATTTACAATATTCTTGACTGAGAAACTGAAATGCAACGAGGTGGGAATCTTAATATCCAATATGAAGTTCAAACTATTTCAATGCAAACCAATGCTTACACAGCTTTACAAAACTAGCACTACTATATAGAAGGCCTTGAGGTCCTTGTGCTTTAAAAGAATCTGAAGTAGGTCGGTGGAAATAAGCAGTGCACCTGTGGCTACGTCCATGTGTGCTGAGTGTCGCTGCCATCAATTCTTTCCCCCCAGTGGGCTGCATTTCCTGAACTGGTCCTGTCCATCGCGCTGAGAGTGTTGCGCAACCCAGATGTGATAAACCAGGACAGTGAGGTGCAAAAGTTCACTTGAAGGTGGATTTTGATTTTTTTTTTTTCTCCGTACTCAGTTAACTCTGCAGGGTGTCTTCATTATGTCAGCTGTTTCTAGTATCTAGGCAGTATAGGTGTAGGTGTTGTATGTGGGGCAGCACTGTCCAGCCACTTACATTTGTTTAGGGGTTTAAATAGTGCGACTCTAGTGACATTAAATGGCAAATGGCTTCCCTCTAATAGTCAGAAAACATCAGTTGAAGCCTGGTGGACGGGTGACCTGTGCACAGTGTTCTGTTTTGCTCAGTCTGCACGAAATTCGATTCTTGTCCCTGAACAGAAGCGGGCAAATCTGAAAAATCAATAAGTGGACTGTGCATGTTGTTATTCTGGCCTATGTACACTTGGAAACAGTAGTTTATATACACAGTATTAAAAGACATATAACCTTTTTTTCTCACTGTCTGACATTAAATGAGGTCAAAATTATTTCTTTTTGCTAAACGCCAGAATAATGAGAGAGAGAATTTCTTATTACTTTCTTCAAAGTCAGAAGTTTACATACACTAAGATTACTATCCCTTCAAACTATTTGGAAAGCCCAGATGATGATGTCATGGCTTTGGAAGCTTTTGATAGGTTAATTGATAACATTTGAGTTAATTGGAGGCACACCTGTGGATGTATTTTAAGGCACACCTCAAACACACTGCTTCCTTTTGTGTCAACATGGGAAATCTAAAGAAACCAGCCAAGATATCAGGAAGAGAACTGTGGACCTCCACAAGTCTGGTTCATCCTTGGTATACTTTCCAGATGCCTGAAGGTTCATCTGTTCAAACAATGTTACGCAAGCATAAACACCATGGGAATGTCCAGCCATCATAGCGCTCAGGAAGGAGACGGGTTCTGTTTACCAGAGATGAAGTGTTTTGGTGTGAAATGTGCGTATCAACCCCAGAACTAAAGCTAAAGACCTTGTGACGATGCTGCTGAAGCTGGTCAGAGCGAGTCATTATCCACAGTGAAACCAGTCCAGCACTGACATGGGCTGGAAGGCTACTCAGAGAGGAAGAAGTCATCACTCCAAAAGCAACATAAAAAAGCCTGATTGCAGTTTACAAATGCACAAAGGGACAAAGACCTGAATCTATGGAGACATGTCCTGTGGTCTAGTGGAACCAAAATTGAACTGCTTGGCCTTAATGACCATCGTTACATTTGGAGGAAAAAGGGGGACGCTTGTAAGCCTGAGAACACCATCCCCACTGTGAAGCACGGGGGTGGCAGCATCATGTTGTGGGGGTGTTTTACAAAGTGCATTAAAATATGCACCTAAGTATGCAATTTGAATTTTTCCTCTCAGTCTGAAAGAAGACATGTTCCTTGCTGGTTTGGAGTAATTAGTGGAAATAGTGTGGCGTTAGTAGAAGTTCCAATAACTGTCCACTGCGGGGATGTTATGCATAAAAAGGTTAGAGGGGGGAAGGGATTAAGTGATCACTCAACCAGACCTTCTGTCAGGTGGCAAAACAACATCTGTAGCCGTTGAGTGTTGCACTTACAATACACATATCAATCAGAGAACAGCAGCAGCACTGAAAACATTCTCTTCTGTACAAGTGTCTCCTCAGATGATGATTTGTGGTCTGAAAACGGTACGCTATTAGCACCCCATTATACATCATCATCGAGATTTCTTTGCGCTGTAGTGCGTTAGTCTATTCTTCATCATAAATCATTTTTAAAATCAGTCTCCCTTGAAGTAAAAACAAAAGCTTTTGTTTGCATAGAGCTTGACCAGCAGACAACGGAGCATCGATCCAATAAGTGTGTCTGCGTTCTGTCTGTTGTATATTCTACATCAGTTTCAGTGTCTGCATTTGTATTGAATAATTAAAATCTTCAGTGAAAAGCTTGTTTTTTTTCCCCCTTTGTTAGCATCTCCCTACAGTAATTTTTACATGCCGGTGAACACATAATGAGCGAGATAAGCAGTCGACACCACGGCTGAACATTCCCAACTTGAAAGTGTAGTGTACCATCTCGAAAACACAGATTCAGACAGTCTGGATTTAATGCGTAACAGACCTGGGAAATCATTCCCCTCAACTCACAGGGTGGAGCTTCCCATCTAAGAAGAGAAGAATAATCCTTTATTTAATACATTACAGCACCGTAAAATTCTCTTTCTGCACATCCCGGTGGGGGTCAGAGCCCAGGGTCAGCCATGATGTTGTTTGCTGAAATGTAAAACGGTTACACTTGTTTTCCAAGGTCAAGGTTCTTCCTGCTATGTATTGTAATGCAAGAATGAATAACCTGAATGAAGTCCTGTCTGATAATATGAATGATCTAGTGCGCTCTAATTTACTTCAGCCACACAATAACATTCAGCAGTGCACCTCTAATTGGATCCGTGCTGCTTCCTGCTCCCTCCTCCTCCATTCTTTAATTTTCTTATTCAGAGCCGCATTCATCTGTTTGTTTGGACGGCACAGTATTTAACAAATCATTTCTACTGCTGGACCTGCTAGGAAATATTACATGCCCTGTAGGCATAGGGGGAAAAGAACTGTAGAGGATAATGTTCATATTTACATGCTGATTTTATCCATTTACAGTCGAAATTTATTAAACACATAAATGAAATGAAACTTCTCTGTTTGTACGCTGAGTCTATCAGTTAAACCTTGGACACGGTCAAACCTGCAGCAGAACTCTAGTGTTGAAACAGATGGTTAGTTAGTTCATTTAGATGGTTCACAGCATAAAGCATGGAGGCATGACAAGCAATGCCAAAGAAATCAATATATGTCTTGCAGCATCAGCCAGCAAAGCCTTTTTATTTGTTAGGTAGCTTCCCTGCACCGCTGGCTGCAGGTTTTCTTTTCCTGCTGGATACATTCAATGAGAGCTACATACTGTGACTTATGAAGGCAAATGCTATTTGCTGTTGTGGATTTCACCAGCTGTGCCACTGTGGCTAAGATGACCTCTAGCATACTGACTATTAATACTGTGGTTAGGACATAAATATCAGCCCCAACAAGACAGGCCCATAGGGGAACTTCTTGATGGTGAGTCTGTGCCTGGTTTGAGCAGAGTTGCAGGTGAGCTGGTGTGCTTGAGCTGCAGCGAGTAGCAGAGGGGTGGGTGGAGAAAGAGGCAAGGACTTCATAGATCTGCATATTCCATAAGAGGCAACAGCAGAGAGTTACTGCTCAGTTGTTTTCAATGAGGAAGGGAGTATTTTCACTGGGAAAAAAACAGCAAAAAATGTTTTATTTTTGCTATACAGAGGGGAGTTGTTGGGCTGCAAGGTGGCTCGGTGGTTAGCACCGTTGCTTTGCAGCTAGAGGGTCGCCAGTTCGCATCCCGGTGAGGACACCTGGGATCTTTCTGCGTGGAGTTTGCATTCTCTCCGGGTTCTCCAGCTTCCTCCCACAGTCTAAAACATGTTGAGGTTAATTGGTGATTCTAAATTGTCCGTAGGTGTGAATGTGAGTGTGCTTGGTTGTCTGCTGGCCATCCCCCCCGTGACCCAAGTGAGGATTAAGCAGTGTATAGATAATGGATGGAGGTGAGTTTTTATGAGTTTAATCAATGAACAGAGCGAGGCTTTAAACTGAAAACTTTCAGAATAATTCATGTGACACTGGTTTCGCCCCTTAATAGTAGTTCACAGCACGGCTGTTTCCCTGCTCCAGGCTGCAGATGGCAACTCATGCTCTGGCATGTAGTGGAGTTTCCGCAGACTTGTTCTCTGGTGCCCTCTGCCTTCGCTTTTAGGCCTGAAGTAAGTGGAGGATGTGAGTTTTGTAATGTGTCATCCTGTGTGTGAAAGGGACTTGGGGCCCTGTAATAATCAGTGCAAACCAGACTTAAGACACTTCTTATTTTGATGTGCTATTTAAGATCAGATTATAGAGTTTTCATTTGGTTATGTCACATCAGAGCAGTTTTACCTGCTGGACAGGTTTAGTAGCATCATATTTAAAAGCCCGTGTTGCTGTTAGAATTCCAGCGCCATCAGTCAAAGTGTCAGACAGGCTGTGAGTGCTTGACCCATTTGTGTGAGTGAGTCAGATCAGCAGCAGAGATACCCTGGCTGGAGCCCACGCACAACGGGGTCACGAGTCTTATCACCTAGAGCTTCGGTTCGCGC